CATATTTATAGAATTTGTTGCTGTCTGTGATAAATGCTTAATAAAATAAATTATTATTATATTCCATTAACCTGGGTTACTTTTGTTGTGCACTTGAAATGTATCTTGAATTAATAACAAATCAAAATGTTAAATTACCTAAAGGTCTTAAGTACATATGTGTACATATACATATAGAAAGCAACCAAACGAAAAAAAAAGAAAAGGAAAGAGAAAGAAACATGTTAGAAATGTTCCATCGGTTAGGTTTTAACTCACACCGACATAGTGATCGTCGTATGTTGACAATCTATGCCCCTTTCGTACTCCTGTCCAGAAACGCTGACATAGCTGAAAATCTACATCATAAAATATCTGAGAATTTGAAGTTTTACATAAAACATATAATGTTTTCAACTCATTACGTACAATACTGCATTAATTTTGTAATATCATATACACATAAAAACCTTTATGAACAGAATAGAAATATCTAACATTTACTGGGAATGTCAAATAATGTATTATTAGCAGAGAGAACAATAAAAAACATTAATTTAGATTGATAACATTTACTGAGGGAAATTAGGTTTGGCATTATTTTGTCCATGGCTGTATATGAACATTAAACATTCCAGACAATTGGAAATAGAATAAGATTAATAATTACATGTACATAATAATATAATTATGACTAAAGCCCATAAGGCTAATTTTACTCCGGCAGTCGTAAGTCACATAAATTGCTCCGGATATCGGAAGCTTGATATGTTTATTCAGATATAATCAATTTAAAAAATAAGTTTTGAAAAAGAGACAACGAGCTGACAAATGCCGATATTCAAACAATGTATATGCATGAATAGACTCCGGATATCGGAACCTCATACATCTTTGTTATCAATCAAAATAAGTTACTTTATATATAAGAACAAAAGGATAATTATCATAATCAAAATTTTTTGGTTGACCAAAGGTTTGGTTGAAACTATGTTTAACAAAGTTTTACAGCATTACATTAATACTCTAAAATTCATGCAGATCCAATTACAAATGAGGCAAAAAGAAAGAAAACAATTTTATCATTATAGCTTTGCTAAATTCAAGTCTTTAGGCACTTGTCTCAAAATTTGTACAGTAGTATTGTGAAATCTAGCCATGACGTGTTGGTGACATTCATCTTAAATACAGATATTAGAAAAAAACGCAACAAAAGCAGACGGAAAATATTCTGGGAGGGAAAGGGTGGGTTTATACGTTTTTAAACTAAAATTTTATGATGGACAAAATCTTGCTTTTTAAGGGAGACAACTAGAATATATATGTACATAATGACATGCCAGGGTTGTCTCCCTTCTAATAAATTGCATTAATGAATTATAAGATTTTTATAAAGAACTTTTGCAGAAGGTTAATTACAAAATACAATGTTTGCAAAGTAACAAAATTCTAATAAAAAACTAGTCAATTTTTTGGTCAATCTTATTATTGTTTCACGAATACGATTAATTCGTCTCCTAATAATGATATATGCCATTTTAGTATAGTCATGTTTGTAAAGTTTAAATTCAAATATGCAGACATTTGAATATATATATATATATATATCCGTCATAAAAAAGAATATCGTCGAGTAAATATACATCCTCTTTTTGGCGGAGAAAAGTGGTAATAAGTTTACGTTAACAAAAAGAAAGCAGAGTCCCGGGCATGATGAGCAAGTTGCTTCATATATACACTATGTTAAAATTGTCTAAGTTACACACAAAAAATATCACTAACACATTTTCTATTGCATTGAGACATAACTATGGAGAAAATTTGGTAAAGGCTGTACCAAATTAAGTTTACTTAAACCTAAAGCTAGCTTAATTTTGTTAAATTCTTTGTACATGATATACTGTATAACAAAATAACGAATAATATACACAATACAGCATATGTATTGTTTTATTAACATCTATATTATACTAATCTTCGATAGATTTTCGGTAAATTCCGTGTGATGTACATAGTATATGAAATAATTAAACTAAGCTTTATGTACAACACAATAGGGTAAACTACGGGTTTATAAGAAATTATTTTTAAATGTCCTAGGTAGGTCCATTTTTTCTTCTTTATTTTCAGCATGAATGAAGATATGGTTTGTTTATGTTGTTTAAGCTATAATTGAAGACATAACTATGGAGAACATTTGGTAAAGGCTGTACCAAATTAATTTCAGTTAAACTCAAATTTAAATCAATATTGTTAAAACGGATGTTTGCGTCATTACAGGAACAATTTATCGTTATCTAGACCATGACAATACAGTATGATACCGATTTGTACAGATATTACATTAATACTCTAAAATCCATGCAGATCTAATTACAAATATATTACCTGATAGATCTACCTCATATAAATGTAATTGTTTTCTGAAATTATAAAAACGACAACGTTCGCGAACTGTTGACCGCGGTCAATGACTGTTTCCCTCGCGTGCCCTGACGCCATAGAGGATTCCCCCTTGAAGCGTTAACATATTTGCAAAAACTATTTTCTTGTTCCTTTTTTCTTCTGCAAGTACTGTTACAGTAATTGACAGTAATTACAGTAATTGATCAGGTAATAAAACAGTTATTTCAAATGTTATTTTGGAACAGTCGAACAGTTGTCTCCCGATGTCGGGGATAGTGTTTTCAACTGTTGTCCTCAAAACACTACCCCCTCCACCTCGGGACAACAGTTTGACTGTTGCCAAAAAGCATATGAAATAACTGTATACTATTATTATTTTCAACGAAATTAGAAAAAAAACGACCAAACGTATAGGCCACATTTGAAACGTATTAAACATACCGTATGTGTAAACATTTTTAATTCTGTGACTTAAACGGGTCAACATATCCGCATATATTGTATATCACTATATAATATAACTCGTTTAATTAATTCAATGAATTTAATTGATAATACAAAATTCTCTATAAATATTCAAGTACACGTTTCAAATATTGCATTGCCAGCAAGGGCGTACATTGTAAGTTTCACACTTTTAACTCAAGTTACTTTTTAAAGGCACATTAAGTCTCAAAAATGGTAATATTTTTGATTTTCTGGTGACCTGCAACAGTATCCTAAACGTTACTAAATTATTGGCGTCATAGATGATCCAGTCTTTGCTGCTTTGGAGTTTAGGCAATAAGTACAGTGTAAGTCACATGTATTGCATATTTGTATTAAAGTCAAAATACCACTTTGTTTACATGTTGCTACATTTATGACAATATGTTTCTCATCCAGTACTATTTACTTCAGGTGATAAGCATCTTACGTGTTTTAAATGCATTATTACAACATTATGAACCATATGTTTGTTTTTTCTACAAAACAAAATGTTTATTCATTTCTGAGACACAATTTGTCTTTAAGAAGTACGAGTACTTACTCGTATATACGAAGTGGACGATTGATATCAGCGTGGTACCAGAACATTTAAATAATATTATCAGTATTTATAATATACTTATAAATGAAATATTCAGAAATATTGATGAAATAAAATACGTATTTTCAATTTTCCGTATTTTGACTGTAAAACTTTATTTTTCATTGCAGTGAAACATATTTTCCGTATTTTCACTGATGTCTTGCCGGACTACTTTCTTCCAAATTCTGCATGTACACAAAAATTAAGGAGAATTCTTTCAAATTGTAATGTCAATTCAAAAATAGAATGTATACATGTATAATAAAAAAAAATAAAAAAATTTATTTATAAATACAGGATATATTTTCATCATGTGGTATGAAAATTATCACATTTCACTTGTGACTATCGCCACTCATAAATTATTTATTTTCATACCATTCGATGAAATTAAATCATGTTATTAGAGATAAAATTAACTTGAATACCCCCTGTGTATTTGATAGTCTATGAGTGTATAATAATATGACATATATGAATCATTATCGGTTAAACAGAACATATGTAAGTAAGTATATCTTTTTTATTAAAAACATTAGTTTTGATACCCAAAAAAGTGTTTTTTGCGCGTAGAAACGACTTATACTATTGTTTGTTGTTGTTGTTTTTCTCAGCTAACTTACACTTTAATATTTAAAGTAACTAGATCAAGGTTTTCTTTTCAAAATTAAATAAAAAAAATAATATTGCAAGATTATTACAGCTTATTTATTTATCTATTTATTTATTGTCCGCCATTTTGTATATCGAATAGTAAACATACTTTAGTCCTGTTTGGAAGCAAGTGGTGTGCTTTAGGACGAAACGATAATATATGTATATAAAAGAGCGTGTTAAAGTAGCTTTCAGCTTTCCTAAAGGTTAAATATGTTAATTTTAGATAAGTCGTTTCATATAACTGTCAAATTAAAATAATTAAAGTGGAAATGAAATTTGCCGTCGATAAAAACATAACCTCGATACGTCTAATCTACCCGTCCGCTCTCAAAAGCCCGATCTTTTAGTTTTATAAAAGAAAGTCAACGCCGCGCTATAAATAGCTCTCGGGACGCTGTTTTGAAGAAGGCTTAAAGGTGATATGATGTACTTACTTTTCAAAGATAACACAAGATAAAATTACTTAAATGATTAGATTGAAACAACACAGAATCGTAAATAACATCTGAAGGCCGCTTTAACCGATAAGAATTAAGGAAGTTTATCTGCATTACAACGATATCGTCTTAAAGATAATAAATGTTTGAACTGTCACAACTGATGTCTTTTAAATCGTCTTATATCAAAAGATATTTTGACGATAGTTTAGAATAAAGTATCCCCATGATTTCTTTTATCTTAGTACGCCAATGTAACAATAACTTTGTCAATGACAATATGCTACAAAATAATAAAGATAACGTTATTGACTCTCAATTAACTCTCAATTTTCACCATATGGTATCAATAAAACTCAGATATCAGTACAAATAATGTAGAGATTTAGTTTCGGAAATCGAAAACTATTTTTATTAATTTTATTACATCCTAAGTGTCACAATAAGTGTTTGTTTAATGTTTGCAAAAGACGAAAATAAAGAAACTTAGAAACGAAGAAATGAAATTTACAACACTAATAAAAATGTGCATTTATTATTCATTGACTTGATTCTGAAGGAAATTGAAATATCAATGGTGTAAAGATAAAGACAGAAGTAACACGAACTAAAGATATTAATTAGCTCTGGGCTGTATTTTTGTATATCTTGGTCACCAGGAACATCCACCTGTCTAGCGCGTGCAATGTTATCTTGTTTACATGCAGATAACGTCGAAACAAGGGACCATACTATTTCCCACGAGTCACGCTGACAATACGGATAACCACACTTTAGAAATAAATTTAAAATAAATTTGCTATCACTTGTTTATGAATATCTCGGAAAAGTTAAACATTAAGTTACAAAAGTTTAATTTATAAGTGTCGTGAAAAGTTCCGGTTGATTTGAAATGAGTGCGTCCGGCGACAGAACAGTGGTGCTGGCATATAGCGGTGGTTTAGATACTTCCTGTATTCTTGTATGGCTGAAAGAACAAGGCTATGAAGTAGTCGCCTTTTTGGTGAGTTTCTTATTTTTTGACAGACTTTTCTTTAAAGCAGCACGCCTCCAGATTCGTGCTAATTTTCATGAAAATTTTCAAAATGTGTTTAAAAGTATTATTTAGTGAAATAACCAAAAGGAAGCAACTTACACATTATCGATGGCACTTAACACCCACGTAAATTACGAAAACGAGGACAAAATGTGCAAAACTTGCCCTTACTGCGTTAGTAACGCAGTAGAAATATAGTTATAAATACTGAAAAATCAGTCATTAATCGTACTTAACATGTAAATTATTACTAGAATCTTGAATATTTTTACTTTCCCTAAAATCTTAGTACATTTTTCTAAGGTTTGATTATATTGAAATATTTTCGCTCATCTGGAGGCATGCAGCTTTAAACTAAAAAAAAACGACGTTATTTGAATATTTACTACAGATGTTACATTCCATAGAAAATAATTTTTCTAAGAAACTAGTATGCTTTTGTAATAAAAGCTGCACGCCTACAGATGAGCCAAAATATTTCAAGGCGTTCAATCTTTAGAAAAATGAATGTATTAAGATCGTAAGAAAAGTAAAAATATTTAACATTTGATTAATCTTTTTACATGTTATGTGCGAGTTATGACTGACTTTGTAGAATCAATCACTAAATAATGGTCTGCGTTACTAACGCACTGAGTGGTATTTATGCATATTTTGACCTCTTTTTTGGTAATTAACGTGGAATGCAAGTGCCTTTTGTAATGTGTAAATTATTTTCATTGTTCAATTCACAATTTTTTACTTTTAAATACATTTTCAAAATTTTCATGAAAATTAGTCTAGCATGAATCGAGGCATGCTGCTTTAACAAATAGAAATGTTAACAGATTTTATAGATGTGCAATAAAATAACATAGTACTTTCACGCGAAATCTCTACAAGTTATCTTTATTTTACCAAGACTTTAATTAAATCCTACTACAATATATATTTGTATGTGAGAAGTTAGTAGTGAACAATTAGCTAAGCTAAAAGGCATTTCAATTTATATAGGGAAGTCAATGCTATGCTGAAATGCTCAGCTGTTTTGGGCATCTAGCAGGGCATTCCTAAATATAGTGTAAAAATGCTCTGCTGGAACGCTCAGCTGGCTAGGCAATCTAGCAGTGCATTACTAAATATAGTGTTAAAATGCTCTGCTGGAATGCTCAGCTGGCGAGCTAAGCTGGCTAGGCAATCTAGCAGTGCATTACTAAATATAGTGTAAAAATGCTCTGCTGGAATGCTAAGCTGGCTAGACAATCTAGCAGGGCATTCCTAAATATAGTGTAAAAATGCTCTGCTGGAATGCTAAGCTGGCTAGGCAATCTAGCAGGGCATTACTTAATATATTGAAAAAAATGCTCCGCTGGAATGCTAAGCTGGCTAGGCAATCTAGCAGGGCATTACTAAATATAGTATAACAATGCTCTGCTGGAATGCTAAGCTGGCTAAGCAATCTAGCAGTGCATTCCTAAATATAGTGTTAAAATGCTCTGATTGCTTAGCCAGCTGAGCATAACAGCAGAGCATTTTTACATTATGTTTTGGAATGCCCCGCTAGATTGCTTAACCAGCTGAGCATAACAGCAGAGCATTTTTACACTACATTATGGAATACCCCGCTAGATTGCTTAGCCCAGCTGAGCGTAACAGCTAAGCATGTTTACACTATATTTAGGAATGTCCCGTTAGATTGCTTAGCCAGCTGAGCATAACAGCAGAGCTTTTTACACTTTATTTTGGAAATCTCCGCTAGATTGCTTAGCCAGCTAGGTATAACAGCAAAGTATTTTTACACTATATTTAGGAATTCCCTGCTAGATTGCCTAGCCAGATGAGCATACCAGCAGATCATTTTGTACACTATATAACACTATATTTAGGAATGTCCCGCTTGATTGCTTAGCCAGCTGAGCATACCAGCAGAGCATATTTTTTTGCACTATATTTTTGAATGCCCCGCTAGATTGCTTAGCCAGCTGAGCATACTAGCAGAGCATTTTAACGCTATATTTTGGAATGCCCCGCTAGATTGCCTAGCCAGCTAAGCATACCAGCAGAGCATTTTTACACTCAATTAAGGAATGGCCTGCTAGATTGCTTACCCAGCTGAGCATACCAGCAAAGCATTTCTACACTTTATTTTGGAATGCTCTGCTAGATTGCTTACCCAGCTGAGCATAACAGCAGATCATTGATTTCCCTATATAAATCGTAATGCCTTTTTGCTTAGCTCACTGTTAACTGCTTACTTCTCACATACATATTTACTGTTCTTTAAAATAATCGTTGAAGACATCGTTATTTAATTGCTTGCGTTTTGACGTTGTGACTCTTGAAACGTCCTTTGAGTATATTACTATCACATACCACTGGGGGTGAGAATATTACTATCACATCCCACTGAGGGTGAGTATATTACTATCACATCTCACTGAGGGTGAGTATATTACTATCACATCTCACTGAGGGTGAGTATATTACTATCACATCTCCCTGAGGGTGAGTTACTATCACATCTCACTGAGGGTGAGTATATTACTATCACATTCTACTGTGGGTGAGTATATAACTATCACATTCTACTGTGGGTGAGTATATTACTATCACATCCCACTGAGGGTGAGTATATTACTATCACATCTCACTGAGGGTGAGTATATTACTATCACATCCCACTGGGAGTAAGTTTATTACTTTCACATCCCACTGAAGGTGGGTATATCACTATCACATTCTACTGAGGGTGAGTATATTACTATCACATTCTACTGTGGGTGAGTATATTACTATCACATCCCACTGAGGGTGAGTATATTACTATCACATCTCACTGAGGGTGAGTATATTACTATCACATCTCACTGAGGGTGAGTATATTACTATCACATTCTACTGTGGGTGAGTATATTACTATCACATCCCACTGAGGGTGAGTATATTACTATCACATCCCACTGAGGGTGAGTATATTACTATCACATTCTACTGTGGGTGAGTATATTACTATCACATCCCACTGGGGGTAAGTTTATTACTTTCACATCCCACTGAAGGTGGGTATATCACTATCACATTCTACTGAGGGTGAGTATATTACTATCACATTCTACAGTGGGTGAGTATATTACTATCACATCCCACTGAAGGTGGGTATATCACTATCACATTTTACTGAGGGTGAGTATATTACTATCACATTCTACTGTGGGTGAGTATATTACTATCACATCCCACTGAGGGTGGGTATATTACTATCACATCCCACTGAGGGTGAGTATATTACTATCACATCCCACTGAGGGTGAGTATATTACTATCACATATTACTGAGGGTGAGTATATTACTATCACATCTCACTGAGGGTGAATATATTGCTTTATCCTGTCACTTGTATCAATTTCGGCCCGATAACAAGGTGCCGTATATTTTTACTGATCTACGGCACTTGATCACGTGGTATGCATAGTTTGCCGGACTACTTTTCAAGAAAAAATATAATTATCATTATAATGTTGGACTTTAAGTTCTGTGTGTAGAATAACGAATTTTGGAAACGTTGATAAAACTTTGTTTGTTTATTTTATTCCACTCTATAATTTTTCAAGCGAAATAAAAATTATTAAAAGTGAAATAAATGTAAAACTTAACTCGTTTGCGACATTAAAATAGCGTACATGATTTGATTGTTTTGCACGTGCTGTTTGGCGCTACATTGTGACGTCACGTAAACAATACTTTAAACGTCTGTACAGCGTTAACGACTGAATAAAAGATATTGGTGTTCGAATTCATTTTCTTAGTTAGACCATTTTCTTTCATTCTAGATAGTCTACACAACAAAATTCGACAAAAAATGTTTTTATTTATCACATTTTTCAAACAAAATGGCGCCCTCAATGTGAAAATACACAGGGAGATAATAAGAACAGCTAGTGCATTGTTGTAGAATAATGCACACTTCGGGCCTTCTTTGTTTATAAAGAAACATTTCAGATAGTGTGTGTGATTAAAGGTAGTTTGCCTAATAAAATTCTTTAAAAAAAAAACGGTGACAGGATAAATAGAATAATAGATTTATGCCGTGGATGGAGAAAGTTTATCTGGCTCTGCTCCGGAATTTATTGGGTTCGCCTTCGGCTCACCCAATAAATTCCTCCGCCTCGCCAGATAAACTTTCTCCATCCACGGCACCAACCTATTATTCTCTATATCACATCCCACTGAGCGTGGCTATATTACAATCACATAGTTACCAGTAATGTTTGTGGAAGTGATTCTTACATATCAGACAGGATATTCAAATGTTAATTTTTATATACACCGGTGCTAGAAAAATTCAAAAACTCATACACGAGTTGAGTCCTGTCAATGAAATCGTTTCGATAAAAAAGTGGTAAATGCATGAAGGAAAAAGATGCTTATATAGTTTACTAATAACTTATATTTAATACAATGTTTCGCGAGTCAAATCTACTAGGTAGGCAATATAAGATAGATTTTTGGTCGTAGTGAAAACTGACGATCATGTAATTATATTATATAAAGGATATTGAATGAGTGTAGTTTAATACTAAATTTATTCAACGAGTTCAATAAATTTAGTATCGAATCTACACGAATATAATATTCTATTTATCACATAGAGCTCTATATAAAATAAGAACAGTGAACTGTTAAATGAGTAATTTTCAATGACGCGCCCATAGTTGAACGCTAACAGCGCGTTTTAACGCTATGTTTCTATATAGCACAAATGACGTCACATCAAAGTGTTATTACACTAGTGTAATATCGTTTTTATTATAATAAAGGCTTTATAACACTCCCGCACCGCGGTTTATGTGATAAATGCTATTTATGATACATACACAAGTCATTTTTAACTAAATAAATAATATTAAATTAAAGGACATACATTATTCATTAGAGTATATATTAATAAATACAAAAATACATTGATACCTTTAATTTTATAAATGAA